ACTGCACGATTAGCACGCACACGCTGACCAGGTCACTGGCAAGGTAATAACGTCAGTTCCCTTGATAGTTTTTTGTGGCTCACTGCCAGACATGTTCAATACTTCCATTTCACACGAATATCGAAATACATGGTGTCGCTAAATTTCGAACACACAGGATGACGCTGATGCCGACTTTGACACGAACATGAAAGAATGGCCACATGACAATTTCCCTAATTGGAATAGAAGACTGGTCATGTGGATTGGTCTTGTCGTTTACCAGGCCTACGCTTTCTTGATTTTGTTTACCTGAGGCATGCTAAAGGCATAAGCGTAGTTAAGAAAAATCACAGATTCTATACACTGTACTCAAAGCATAAAAAATGAATGTAATAAAATCGACCGCAACGTGGATTTATGACATGCAGCTCACGAACAAGTTGCGAAACGAAACAACATTTGCATTGCAAATGGTGGAAATCATATTGAAGACTTTATTTGAATAAAAGTTTGCCTTTTTGCCCATGCGTGCAAACATTAAGGACGCCCAGTACATCAGTTCGCCTCTGTACCGCAAATATCCCTGACAAGTCAACGGACCTTGTTACCCAGCGGATCTATTTTATTTTTATGGAGAAAGGCACCAATTTGTCTATGACAACTAATCGTTAAAATGTACGGTAAAGTGCATTCTGTCAAACCGAGACTCAGGATGCCTTATCTACAGGCGTCTCGAAGAAAGCTGCCTTCCATTACCAAACCGCGTCCGTTATCTTCATCCAGCTACTGCTTCTTGGCACTCATTCTAAAGCCCCTTTAGCACCTGGCTACCGTACATAGCATTGGTCAGTGCAAACACTGGCACGTTTGAAAGTGTGACGTCATGGCACTTGTTCTCATCTCTTTAATCCATCCTGACACAGTATTGGGCCACGTTTAACCATGTACTTTTACAAAAGTACATTTCTCTGCAGCTTGTAAAGCGCATTTGGCCTACACTGAATCCGTGAATTAAGGATTACGTCAGATATTTGTCCGTTGCAACTTAGTAGTAACTATGTTTTATCTTGTTCACGATTTCAACTAAGGTTACCCCTATTACGTTTGGTTTGTGCCTCAGTAGAGGCCATTCATTTTGCCTACTTGAATCTTTCTCCAACCCCACCAATTCGTTAAGAACTGCGATTTTGGCCTGAAGCAGTGGCGCAGTGGGTTTTGTTGTGGGCAGAATCCGCTCAAAGAACTGTTAACGGAGGTGAAGCGCAATTCGTTCAAAACGTTCAAGGTGCTCCGTTGATTGTGGAACTAAGGTGTGTATTATGGTCGGTTTACAATTGTTAAGCAGTGTCCCAATTTTTCAAGAAACATAACATCTATACTTTATCCGACTGATAATGCACATATCCATAGCAACTGCAACTTCTTCCATTGAACGGTTAGCAGGTAACTGACCGAGTTTTCCTCATGTTGTTACTTACTGTGCTCCAAGTGAGTATGCAAAAGCCTTCTTGATCACAAATGTCATTAGATAGATCTATCAGTAGACTCACCGCAGACTGGGTTGGTTGAGAATGACGTTGGAATATACCTCCTCACTAACCAATAGATAATCAGCATGAGAAGCATTTCGCGTCACGGGTTGATTTTCGAAAAAAGTGATATCGTCGTAAAAGTAGAACGATTGTTCCCTCAAAGCTTTCAATATATCGAGGACCTATAGCAAAGGAAGAAGACACGTTGGGACATTGTCATCAGCCGGAGAACATGCAAAACATTGAACGAACGTTATTAATCCATATCTGTAGATAGATTCAATTCATCCGGCTCTCGAGTGTCAGACCGATTACCATTAAGTTGCGCTGACCCTTCCTATAAACGGTTACATTGAAACAGTATTACGCATTTAAATTGTTGTCTACCCATCTCACTGATTGTATGAAATGATTTGTGTCTTCGCATACCATTTCATGAACAGCATTGTCAATGATGAAAAGGTTTATGCTGCATGCTAACGTTGGCAAGTATATTTGGTTGGACCCATATCGGCACTTACCCCACTTTAGTTTTAAATGGGGAAGTCAGTGGCCCACGAGACCACGAAAGTTGAGAATCGAAGGTGCTGGGAACTGCACGCTAAACTCCCTTTCGTAAAGGGTCCTTCATTCGAGAAGTTGCAATCCTCTCGGATCTGGACCATCAGTTTCGGTGAAATTAGTACACACACGTTATGAGCTGGTCTCAATAGGCTTAGAATCCTTCATCGGAACTATCAATATATTTTGCGTTCAGTCGGTGAAATAAATTGATAAGTGTAATAACTTCACTGCGTAGCACAGATTTTAACCTCAGTTGTCTTAAGTGTAGTGAAGTGGCCATTGAAAACTATTTTCAGAAATGTCTTCTTCCTGGATACCTTGCGCACCAAATCCTTCGATTCTCTCAAATCCTTTGACGCCCGACATTTTCGTAGGTATCTGTTCGTCATTAATGTTTTTATACTAAACGAAAACTCAACAGTCAGACACTGCGAAACGAATTCGTTTAGCATTACAAGTGTCCACTTGTAACGCGCTGGTGTGAAACTAGAGAAGTGCACATGCGGTCCAAATCACGTCACATTTATGTGCAACTCCATCCTGCATGCGGTGGAAGACACGTTTTCCTTTCCACTCAGCAGGCGATTCGTAAGTTAACATGTACAGCGTTCCAAAGTGTGCCATTATCTTGCATCTTGCCTACGCAGGTCATACCGCTATCAGGGCTAAACCACACATCCTTCGCCACCACGAACTTACTGAAGTGACTTATGTCCCTGTGCGATCACAGTTTGACTGGTACAGACGGCATTCGCCCAAAAGCGTTGAAACCTTCAGAAAGCTTCTTACAACGGTATCTTATGTGGTGCAGGTTCCCAGCATTTGGAAACAAGGGATCTTCACTTCAGTTTACAAGTGTGGCTACCGTGCAGAATCAGTGAATTATCGGCCGATAACACTGTTTCCAGTGATATCCAAGGTCATGTACTCCACTGTCGCTGAAACCTTCATGGGGTAACTGAAGAACAACATGATTTTCGCCCCGGAGCAGCATGGATTCCGCCAAAATCGGCCATGCACTTTTAGCCCACTGATAGTTCGTGCATAATAAACGGAGTCTGTGAATGCAGGAGTTGGAGTAAGTGCCCCATCTGAATTTAACAAACGCATTCGACTGTCTGGATCAAAGCATTCGGCTTCACAAGCTTCAGTAATTATGGAAGGGGCGATCTCGTTTGGGCTAGATAGTCGACTTTCCTATTCAACGTCACCTGGATGTGAGGGTTCGTAGCACTCTATCCGAACCAATGGAAGTCCAGTGGGGTGCACCAGGGTACTAGGAGTCCGCCTGTTCCCGGTCCTTAGGAATGACTTGACGATGGGACTATCTTCAACATTCCTACTATTCGCCGAAAAACTATTTATATGGCCTGCTATCACAGGGTCTAGTTGTCTAGAGGAGAAATTTACAACCCTGTTTTAGGATCACCAATTCAAGGCAAACGACCTATTCGGAGTTTGAAGCACACTCCCTCCGCTTCTATAGTAACATTTCCTTGTAACTCGAACCGAAATTAAGCTGAGGCAACTCGCGGACATTCTGAGTACTCTATCCGCATCGGAAATAAATACCTTTGGGGTTTAGTACTGAGTTGGACTCTTCTGGTTCAGACAGCCAGAAATGATGGCATTACCCAAAAAGTCATGGTTACAACATCGCGACAGTCCCACGAATGGACTGCCAAACTTCATATGTAACGCTTGGTACATCAGTTGGAACTTCCCACGCTTGTTCAGGACCACTTGATCGATCAATCGCATTGGGGATAGCACGGTGCTATCTGACTGAGGACACTAGCCTGGGGGAGCGAACGAACCTCACAGTAGACTAGATAATCGGAGGAATAAAAGTACGCCTTATTATGTCATGTTCCACTTTCCACTTGAGACGGCACGCTCAGGAACAGGGACTTGCCATGGGGACAACAATATCCCGTGTTGGCAAATCTTCACATGGAAGACTGAAAGCACGGTGCTGACAAACCCCAGTAGTTCGCCAAAGAGGTGATGGGGCTATGTGGATGATACACATGTGATTACAAAGGCGTTTTTAAACCATCTGAGCTCCATTAATGAGAACATACGCTTTACTATTTGACTAGAATCTTGTGGTATCATGCTGCCTAGTTCATGAGGGTGGAGAGTGGTTAAAGAAGACGATTTATCACAAACCGACAGGCACGGACGGGGCACTGCTTTACAGTTCGGGTCAAGCAAAGCAAGCATATGCTGCTATTGCATCCTCTCTATTTCACAGAACTCAGACTCTATGCACAAAGGATGAGGACAGAGAGGCCGTTCGTAAGGAGGTGGAGAGCAAAGTATTGGACGGTGGATATCCGAGGTGGTTAGTAACATGCCAGTAGCAAGGAGCTGCTAAACCACCTTCTCGACGCAAAACAAGTGTATTGAGACGGTAGGAATCCCCTATAAAAAGAGAACCTGTGAAGCAGTCAGGCGAGTACCAAATAAAGGGAAAACAAGTGCGCTTTTTCAAAAGGGTCAAACGCTTCGTTCAGCACTGGTGGGTTTGTAGGATCCATTTCCAAGCCATAGGACGATCCATTGGGTTTATAGAATAAGGTGCGAAATTTTGCACACGTGTACATAAGGATTGCAGAACACAAAAAGCACTTTTCGCGTCCACTGCTAAACGAGTCTGAATACGGGGCGGTACTAAGAGATTCAGTGGTGGCCTTACACGCGTTAGACACGGGACACGAAATCGTCTGGGACAATGTCGAGGGAATTAAGAGAGGTTTACGAGCAACAAACCAAGAGTAGATTGCTGAGGCGGTTGAGATTACTAAGACTGACAACTGTGTGAACAGAACGGACGGTGTGGATTTATCAAATGTGTGATTGTTTCAACCCGGCCAGTCAGAAATGATGTCGGCGGATGGATGCATGCCGGAGTGTGAATCAGCAGCAGGAACAGCAGCGCCTCACGTGTAAATGACCGGTTATGCGGATTAATGGGGAACATTCGATGCTTGTAGTTAAACTAGAATGATCACTTGGCCTATTGATCTGTTAAGCTATTATCCACTGTTTCGTGTTATTCTTGCAGTCTTCACCCTACTTTTCCATAAAAAGCCGAAGCATTCCAAATTATCTACAAGGTCCGGGATAATCGATGGAAGTATATGCGCAGATGGATACTAGAAGCCGCTGAAACTATAGTAGTGCGCTTGTACGAACCAAACTTGTGCACCCAGAAACGATTTGTTCAAGCTTTACAACTGCCCTGGCTTGATCGAGTAGTGATTTTTACTCAGTTGGATCGTCTGAAGACCCTGACATTAACCTGATTATTGGCGATAGTTGACCGCTTATAAACTGATTTTACCCCGTGTAACGACATAGTAGTCTGTCTAATTGATGTAATTGGTATATAACTGTACTAACCTGATAAAGAATTATCGAAACATTTTTCGCTAAAATTAACGTTTGATAAACTAATTGTGGATCCATTCACCTGGACTGAAGAAACGCTAGCGTCAAGAGCGAAACGTTGGTACAATATTAAGCCCTGCACAAACCGGTTTGTATTCAAAACCTGAAATCATGAAATCCCATTCGGTTCCAAGCCCATTCCGGGTTTGAAACCTTGTTTTAACTTTAACCGGTTGCGATCCTCAATTCACTACGGTTCAGCTTAGTAGGCAGCAACAACCGCAAAGTATGAAACGTAAACTCCTTTTTATAATTTCTAATAAGAATTTCAGAAAACGGAGATGGTGGGATGATACTGGCATTTCATGCATACTCCTCGGCCACGTACACGCAACCCAAATTCACAAGTAGCTGTAGTGACAGCTATGTTGGGCACACTAAATGAACCCAAATTATTCGGATCAATGATCACATGCCAAATGGGCTCCATAAACGGATGAGACATGAGGCGGTTGTACTCAGGGAATTGCGACGCAATGTTGCCTTCCAGTCAAGTGGCATTTGATGAGCACCGGTCACCAGGTAAACTCGAATGAGTCATTCTCCACATGCTCAAGCTATTTTTGGCCATTGTTATGGGTCAAAAGCGCCCACCACTCTGTCTAAAAACAGCTGACACCAAGCCTTCTGTGGTGGCTGCACGGTACCCATGGGAAAACAGTTAGGCAGTAATTGATTTCACGTGACGTTGTTTTGTATGTACGTGACCGACGAGTATGCACCAAAGGACAATGTCATCTCACAACATTCGTCTTCTGATATTTGTAATTGGACTACGCAATACCCCAGTTAATATGTGTTAATAGCTCCATAGGCAAGATAAATGCAATGATAATTGCCCCCCAAACAACGTGAACTACTCTCACATCGAAAGGGTAGGTATTCCTCCATTTACTCACTCACCCCCCGTCTGATTCCGACCTCGAAATTGTCCAGCTCTTTACCGGTCAGATGTTGCTCGCTGATTGTCTGCTGTATCCTCTGATACTCTCTCACGGCGTACGGTAGCCAGTCATCGTCTACTTTTGAAAACAAACATGGGTCATTCCTTACATTGACCGTCAGCCAAACCTGTTCGAACAAACGAAGGAAAGATACATTGGTATTTTAAACTTTGTGTGTAACTTTATAACTCTAGTAAATACTAGAATATGGTTTCGTTAGATAAGTCTCTGTGTTGCTCACATTGAATTGTGAAGTAAGTAGTAAATGCCTCCAAGTAGGTTGCTGAAAAATGATGCCGATATGCTACTTCGTGCAAGAAACTCCACATGTAATTTTAACCTTGCAGCACATGCTTTATGCATGATTTATACACACACGAGATCTTGAATCGATTGGGAACTCAACTGAGCCTAGTGTGATGAATTATGCAAACACCGAGTCAATACAGCTGGCTGAATTCTGTGAAACTTAACCGGAGGCAAGCAACATGTTCATACAACATGCGCTTCAAAATGATCACAGCTTACTTATTATTGGTTGTGATAAGCGTTGCTCAACAAGATTCGGTGGGTTAGGGGCAAAAGGATTCAAATCCCATCCCGGTGAATCTGGGTTCGTGGCGTGCAATCTCTACATGAAAACTTCAGACAACTTCGAAACCAGTTGTGGAGTACAGTGCTTTCAGGTGGACAGCACCCAATGTCGATCGGCTCCATCACTTACGGTGCCAAGGTTGTTTGCCAACGATATCAAGATCCGGCGCAGGATCCAGGCGAACACCGACCAACATGCATTTCAGAGTGATATAAATACGGTGTATCAATGGTCGACCCAAAACTTATTACATTTCAACGTCAGTAAATACAAGGTGCTTTCTGTCCGACATCAAAGCAGCTACTCATACCGACTCGGAAAGGATGTACTGCAACAATCAACTCTCGAACGTGACATGTGTGTTCTGGTTCAAGATGACTTGGGTTGCTCCAGGCAATCCGAAAAGGCCTCGAAGACCGGGAACCAACACGTCGGGCTGTTGAGGCGGGCGTTTGGACAAATAAACAGCTCCATATTTCGACAAATGCTCAGTGCGTATGTTCGCCCCCATGTCGAATACGCAATACAAGCCTGGCATCCATGGCTGAAACACGACCGTAATGCACTGGAGCAGCCACAACGCCGGGCATCTAAGAACGTAATTGGAATGCGCAATCTTTCTTACCAGGTGAGGCTGCGACGACTGGGATTGTTCAGTGGAAGCTATCGCAGGCTACGAGGCGACCTGATTTTGGCATACTTGATTCTGCGAGACCCACATCATCTGTGTTGCCCTTTACTGCAACTCAGCAGCAATACAAACCTGAGGGGCCACTCATTAAAACTCGCAGAACAATACAGTCGTCTGGAGTGCCACAGAAATTTCTTTTCCATTCGTGTCTGTCACCCGTGGAATGCTCTCCCAGAATCGGTCGTCTCTGCACCAACACTAACAGTATTTCAAAGACGGTTGGACGATGCACTCATCCACTTACACTTTGTTACTTAACACTACGTCTCCATCCTACACCTGGAGTTTACCATAGAATTATTTGTTGCTACTTGTGGATGCTGTGAATCTAAGAGCATCGCAGGACTACAACGAAGCAAACGATAAGTCCTTATTTTCAAATTTAAAGTATTAACTATTTTACTATCCTTATCCTCATTATTGTTATGTTGATATCCCCACCAACTATCCAACGGGACTTGTAGAGCAACGCTTCTTAACTCGTATAAATTCATTGTTCATTGTTCAAGGACCGAACTGACCAAGACTCACTTCAATGCTAATCGCGGTCCATGTTTGGATCGCGTGTCGTGTTCCATCCACAAAACGAGTGCGTTAAAATGACCCTAACTTACTCATTGACTGTTGTGGTAAGCTTTGTTCAACGCGATTCGGTGGCATAGAAGTAAAAGCTTCGTCTGAAATTTCATAGTTCCTGGGTTCTAGTCTCCCCACTGCTCTCTGCCAATCAATTTTAAATACTTTCTGACACAGTTCGCCGCAGTCCCCTCTCAGTCATACAGGTCTCTATATGTCTGAAAAAGCACCAGACAGCAGTTTAGAACTTCTGGTTCTCGTCAGTTGTGCGCGTTCCTCAGTCCTCTGACGGGTTCCGGCCTCCTGACTTCCGGATTAGCTCAACTTGCCCACAAAGCGATGGGTGACGGCAGCTTAGCCGCATGACTGACTGTTAGTTGCACTACAGCGCGACTCACGCTCCACTGCCATGCCCGTTACGAAGTGGGTACAGGACAGTGGTTGGCCCCAGGAGTTCCGACTTTTCGTATAACGACTACGTACGATCAGCACTTAGACGACACAATGAACGGTCAGGCATGCAGTTCCGCCGTCGTCACCAATGGATTTGTGGCACAAGCTGCTTGCATCCGGAAGTCATGGGGGTCACTACCCGGCTGGTGTCCGTGGAACGCGCACCCCTGACGAGATCCAGAAAGTCCAAGCAGCTGTCTGGTGCTTTTCCGCATGACTGAGAGAGGACTGCGACGAGCTACCTGTGAAATTGCACCCTAATCCACATTAGCCATTAGTAATTTCAGATACCTTCGAAACTGGTCATGGCGTGCAGGATTGGGAGCTGATATCACCCCTAACGTCAAACAGTTTGCTACTATGACTTAAAAAGAGACGCAGTAAAAGACAACTATGGGTACTTTGGATGACTTAACACTATTGCAGTTCGAACTTCCTCCTTATTCCAGTTATCGGAAGCCGCTTAGTGATGGGGATGAAAATTATTGTATGATGTATATTCTAACAGATTAGTTGCTGTGCCTTATGATCTCATTTGAGTATAACTCAGCCGCATGAGGGGTACACTGATATGGAAAACGTGCTGAGAAATAGTTCTGTGTGTGTTGATTATGGTTACATCTTTTCCGGCCCAGTAGCTTTCGTTAAATGACCTGCTTTCTATCCATTTTACTTTGCCAATCTTTCTCTTACGAACTGAGCAGCATCACCTTATTTGCGCCGTCAAGATTTTTATATGCCGTTGTTTTCTTTGCGTGAAGCATTGTAGACGACACACTAGCATTAGTTCGAAAATGTTCCACCACTTACCGGAAGCTTCGATACGCACTCGTTCACCATTGATTTAATTTTGCACAGTGATGCTTGTGAAAGACCCAATACTGGTAGTCCAATGTTTGACTGTTCTCTAGGGGAATGTTCCGGATAATTGATGCGCTCTGAATTAAGATGGTCTCTTTCACTTTCGCTATCACGCACGAAGCAGTAGATCCCCTGAAATTACAGACGGATAGCATGATATATAGCAGAGTAAAGTACGTCTCATGTATGTGTACTGGTGATATAATGCATCTGGGGGTACTTTCAATTCGTAGTTTGGAAGGAACCTCGCAAACGTGCTGAATGCAAAGAAATTATGGATCCGATCGGACCAAGGGAGCGTAGTGAATAAATCAACTACTACTGATAGGTTGTGGATGAGGGTGCGCAGCGGAACGGAGAGTCACAATGACACGAAGAACGAAGTGCACACACAGGCCCGATTGGTCAGTATCGGTGGGTTCTCTAACACATCAGTCGTCTGCACCGCCTTTTATTCTCAGTATGAAGACGTAAAACCCAGAACGTGCTGCTCAAGGTCCCCGATTATAACGATAGGGTAGACTGGAGCTCTTCAGGTGATGGGTACATAGTCTGGTTTGTTTAAGTCACACCATTTGTATATGCAGCTTATGAAAAACTTCGGCACTATGCTTCTGATTGTTGCTGTGTCCCCGTTGCATGGAAATAACTAATTACTGCCGTATCGTAGAAAATAAGCTTCTTAAGGAGGTGGTCATTCTGTACCTTCGACGTCCTTTCCCTGGCGATCGATCTGTATACATTGGCTTTAACTTTTGCGTGGAATCCGTTGACATTATATCAATTGCCTTGTACCGTCTGTCTCGAGATCCCAGACATTTGAACAAGGTCTTACCATCAATAACTGATAGGACATAACTCATGAGAGAGGTGTATTTGTTGATTTTTTTGAGATTTCATCACAATGGCATTCGCGTTAGATACTCTTCCATACACTGGTTGTTTCGTCTTATTGCGACTCATCAGTAGTGCGCATCCCTCGGCTACTCCTAGAACGGAACTGATTTTCTCGGAAATTTTCATCCAGTTTCGCTAGTGAGACAAGTAAGCGGCATCCGATTTCGGATTTGCCTGTCATTGTGACCAGCCACAGGACGCCTTCGCCTACAAAGGGACCATGGGTGGCTTGCGCTGCACCACCCACAGCTCCACCCGCACACCCCATATCCAGTGCAAACCAGAAGGAATAAGACCGGGAGGCACGTGGATTGGAGCCGTGTTTCCTCAACGGAGCCGACCCATACTCCTTCACAGGCGAACACAAGCACTCTGTATTTGGGAATCGAGCGCACACAAGGCGGTGGCTGGACCGTAGTCCGCTCCACACAGAGTGCATGGAACCTAGCACGACCACAAGGACCATGCACCTCGTCCCCTCCGGCAATGACCAACTGTCTCATGGAGCCAGTATGGATGAGGTAGTGGGTAGTAGACAGGTAAGCACCTTGTCAACATGCACATCAAGCGCAACCACAGCTGGGATGTCAAACAACAGTCAATCATTCGAAATGCCGATATCAAATAAAAGATATCAAACAAAGTAAAGTTATGACGACATAAATAATCGTTAAATGAGCATATGGAGTAAATTGGTTACAAGCGAATCAACGATAAGTACAAGATGTCCGAAAGATTTTTAAACATTACCACATGATACACTTACGCAAGGTTACCGCAATTAGCATGAGCGACGTATGCAAGTTAGGAGAAGATTATCAATAAAGCAGAACAAACCAAATAAAGTAGAATGAATTTTAGCCACATTAAAAATACCTAGTTTAAGTGTAGGTTGGTTTAGCCCAACTGCGGTGAAGAAGCATCATGAATGCAACATCAGCCTCAGCATGGGTGTATACTTGCGAACAAAAATACGTGTGTGTATGTGACCTCCAGCCACAGTGTATCAGTGCAGTTTATCATTTGTGAGTTTAACCGGGTAATGTGTACAAACTCATGAGACCCTACGATTCATCGAACAGGACTTCTCTGTTTACATGTGTGGCCCTTAAGTAACAAATGCTAAATTGCACAGCTCTTGTGAATTAACTAAGCCAACCGTCTGAGCCACTGTTAGCACAGTGAAAATGGTTTTGGAACCCAGTAGTTTGATAGAGCTGTCCCAGTCTCCACTCCTGGTCTAGCGGTTCTGATTGGGAGAATATTTCATTGAACCGATGGACCAAACCACAGCAGTTTACATCTCGGCTGTTTACATGTTCAAGTTGTTTAATGACTACGATCGTCACAGTTCCACTGTTTACAAGACCACGAGCGTTTTCGGAACCAACGGCTGTTTCTTCGAAGGCTTTGCGTCTCTAGTAGGTTTACTTGCCACAAACCCATTGTTTCGCAACGCGATTTGTATCTTGTTCAGACGCTTTGGGGGTAGGTAAGACACAAGTCTGATCTTTGAAACATCAGAAACGGTTACACCTGTAGTTCTGGCCTTTGATAGTAACATTGCTATGGTTTCATTCTGGAGAGTGTTGTTAATGATTGAAAGGGCTTGGTCGATAGAAACAGTGTGAATTCACTAACCACCATGGTTATGCCTTGCAATGGAAGACCCATTTACTGCCCCAAATAAGTGAGCGATGAAATCAGACTTTAAGGGCTGCGAGACACAAGCGTAAGAAACTAGAGGCGGTAGACATATGCGTCCGTTTGTATGTTAACGTCCTCCGACGGCGGATCGTGTGACGAATTGATGAAAATACGCCCAACTATCCCAACACATATAATCTAAGCACATATGAGTCAAAGTTCGGGTAACCAATACTGATATCGTGACAAAGACAATGAACAGGGCCATCAACTATCATTTTTATTCCATACAATATTCTAGTATGAAGTGGTATAGCACGAGGCTTCACTGTAGTCTCCGGTATCTCCGGTGGCATGTTAACATTGACATAAAACTGGTTTTCATGGTCACTGTCTGCTAGACCGGAACATCTACTTCAGTCATTGATATATTTTATGACAAGGTTCAGCATTCTTAAACCCGATAACAGTGCATATATGTAAGCACTAAGTAAATAAATAGACAGTCCGCATATGATCATAGGGGGCGATCAGTGGTACACAAAACTAGTGTTATGGCTTCCGTCTTTCTCTCTTGACATCTGCTCAATCACATTTGTGCGTCCCAATTGATAAAAACCTACCCTAGTTCCACTACGTACTCGAGTGATGCGTCGGACAAACGTATATGCGCGGCCTCACATATCTCAAGTGTGTTGACCCGGTAAACTGGTCATGATTGGCGTTTGATGTGACTACCAAATATAGTCCACCCCGTTAGCCAGTCAACAGGCAGAACATAATGAACCATGTTGAACCTAATCAGACATCAATACCAAGAGAAAGAGACGATTGGGGGACACGAACTTCCACACAGGAATTGGTGATTAAAATAGAGGTGTAAACGAAATTTTCATTAGACAAAATACCTGGTCAGTCCCTCTCGGATTTCAGGCCTTCTGATCAGATTGGAGTTAGCGGCAGACCACAACTGACTCAACAGCAAAAATATAGCAACAACAAATGTCGAAAACATTTGTGTTCTAAATACATGGGGCAATTATAACACTGCGAACAACGTGAACTCATATTAGGCAGGCCAATCCATAATCCAACATCGAAGCTTTTGAAAATGTAACTTACTTGGATCATCGGATGTTTTTTGAGGTTTGGAGCAACTTGTTCGTAAACAATGTCCGGTATTTCATCGGCCAGCGTCTGAAATTCCTCCATACATGTGCCCAGGATGACGGCCGTGCGCTTGTTACATTGCTCCTTCTGACCGGTGTGTGCGGCTTAGTAAGGCAATGATTTATATAACGGATAATAACGGATTATAACGGATTATAACGGATAAAAAAGCAGGTGCCTGACATGTCCCGTAGGGTGTTTAGCGTGACAAAAATGAGAGAGCAAGGGATAATGGAGTCGTCAGTTTGGGCGATTACAGATGTAACTGCACTGTCGTAATAAAATAAAACAGTCCGGCATCCATGACATGTTTGCTACTGGTTTCGCGCAGAAAATATTGCGGTTTTACTCTAGGAATGACTGTTTTCTTCTACCCACTAGCATAGAATCCACCAGGATGGCAGTTAGATGCAACATAGTGGGGAACTTAAGGGTAGGCATGCATCTCTAATAATATCGCATAATGCCGGCAGACAGTAACATGGTATAAACTAATCTGAGCGAGTGACATGAATACGGGCTATTCAATAATTTGTCTTACATCTCTAGTGTTTCAGTATAGCAGCGTTCGTTGGGTGCGATTAGGAAATGCGTTCGCCTGAGCTGTGTAGACTCTCACAAAGATTCTGGACTGGATCCAACATTACTACTGCACGTTCAACTTTGTACGAGGTTCCGACTTCAGCTTAATGACCCACCGAACAAGCTCCACGTGATGCTAGCTGGGTGGATCTGGTCGATCTCGTTCCAGCGAATGGTTCTGTGGTAGTGTCTCAGGACTTGGCGAGTTTCTGCCTAGCAATTTTCTCCCTATAAAAGCCACAAATGTCCGTGTAACTACACTGAATAAAGCTACTCCCTCTTACCTTTCAAGATCATTCCGCCCTGTCTACAAGCGTCAGTCACTCACTTCAAAGAGTTACGGTGATCCCTATTTGCACTGATGACCTCAGCGAACGCACATTCGACATTAAACTCACAAGTTCGTTTAACATGGCCACATTCGCAAGTACTTACAAATACGCATAAGCAAATATATCCAGTTTGGAACTGATTAACCCGCAGAATATTTGTGCATTAATCGATCTTTCCTATTGGTATTGGGATGAGCACGCCTATTCAGGTGTGCTTTGCGCTGATGAGAATAACAATTGCTTTATTCATTTATTAAGCTTGCCAAAGTTGCTCAGGCATAAGTCCATTAGACAGTGTTCTTTACCAGTGGTACACATTCAGCTCCGACTCTCTTCCACTTTTACTGACCACCGAATTGCGTTTTATTGCTCTAAAATGAGGATAAACGCAATTGATTGTAGTCAAAAATCAGCCTACGATGTTAAAGGTGAAAAATCTCACAGCCATGTGTCTAATACTCACGATTTGCAGGTGCCCGCTCTTCTGGCGTTTGATTCACTACATCTTGTGTCAGATCTGAAAGGAAAAACCCAAACCATTCAGAGATCATGTAGAACACCATCAGTCCGTATTTGCTACAGTCCAGACTCTGTTGTAAATACATTGCCGTTTCCCCTACCATTGCTTAATGATTTTGATTAGCTGATTTCTTGTAGCCATAAGTAATATGCGACAAAAATGCGTGGATAAAGATAGTAGTAAGCTCAAACAAGCAGTCGGCCATTCCTAGTTGATTGGGTAGGAAGACCTAAAAAACACTGCGCGCCCATAAGCGACATCAGGAAAAATCCCCAGTGGTGTGGAAGAACTGTTTGTTGACACTAGGAACATCTAGTCTACAAGGTAGTTGATCTCAGTGCTGATTGTATCTGTCCCTAACCATATCTTTTCCTCTGTTACCCTAAAACTATGAAAACTTGATGGGTACCCTGTTGTATACAATTTCAGTGATTCGCCGTTTTTCCGTCCAATTTGCCAGTTCCGCCATTGTAATTACTCCAGTCACACCACCATTCAAAACCAGTAGGCGAGGCTGTCAATGATGATTTTGGGATGTTTATTATCTCAATTAGGCTACAAATTAGATAGGCCAACTAACAATGCCGAAAGCACCAAACGATCCTTTCGGTCTATTGGGGCTTCTCAGTGATGCGCATTCCCTAGGTCCCCTGTGGTAGATGGAATTTTTGACCGCTAGTGGCTTACATTACTATGCAGCAGGTTATGCCACCGCTTTATGTGGAACGGTATTTGACCAACACTGATTAAAATCTAACAGCGATACAGCCAGACCCATCCTCCACTGCCATGCAGGTTACTTTCCATGCAGCGAACAATGTTTAGCGGTTCATTGTCAGGACTTCGCTTGTCAGTAGCCGTGAATCCACAGAGCCTATTGAAGAATGTTAGGGCAAAATATTGTGTCACTCAATAGAATCGAATTACTTTCCGCTGTGCCAAGCGTTGCTCGCGGATCTCAGTAGCATAGTGTTTAGAGGGTCAGCTGTGAACTACTGGGCTCTGAGTTCCACCCAGCTCAGGCTATCTCCACCTGAAGAGTCCAAACAAGGACAAAACCGCGGTCGTGGTATGCCAATGTTAGGGGGAGCAACACTCAAATATTTCCATTATGTCAATCAATTGCACTGATTATTACCCGGCAACCAAGGCTTCGGGCAGTCAGTGGAACTTAGATGCCATGCTTAGCTCCTAAGCAATAATCGGACCTGTCACTTGCTTGCCCAATACAAAGTTAGGTTGACATAAGCGAAAATGAGCTTGACATCTTATAAGTGCGATATCAGTTTATCTCGTTGGTGATGCTATGCTAACATCTTGTTCATTTCACCTGTTTTGTTACAGACGGCATTCACCAATTGCTATGGGTGTGGCCTGACGATAAATCCCTGGTGGAGAGTCCATTCAGCTGTGTTCCAGTAGATCATGTACCCCATAACTAGCTACACAAGGACCAGTGAATTCTCCGTCTCAATTCTCGGTCTTCATTCGACCTCTTGCGTGTCATCGAGTCGAATTTCTTGCTTTGTGCCGATGGCACCAGGATATGGAGGGCGATTGGTTGTCAGAAATAGCACAATCTGCTGCAACAAGACTTCGACCATGCTTTCGAATGGGCAAAGGTACATCTACTTCTGTTTAGCGCAGACAAGTGCAAAACCGTGCATGTATGTCACAAGCTCAAGCAAGAGTAGAACTTTTGACAAAAAAATATTGAAGTGCCGATACCATTCGACCGTAGGCTTTATAGTCAGCAGCCAGTGATTGGGTGGAATCTCCCGCTATATTCTATCGGCGATATGTAACAGAGAACCAAATTTCAGCTATTTGGAAGTGAGGAGTCATCAATCCTATTCCTAAGAAACGTAGTCACACTGTGGTAACCAATTACCGTCCGATAACGCTGCGCCCTGTGTTTTCTAAGGTCACGGAATCTTTCATCGCTGAGGCATTCATACAGTATCTGGCAAACCACAACATAATAGCACCAGAGCATGTCTTCCGACAAAACAGCTCATACACTACGAACCTGCTAATTACACGCAATAGCTGGACTGAATTAGTTGATGGTGGAGCAGTAGTCGACGTCATGTTCCTGCACTTCTCAAAAGGTTTTGCTCACTTAGACCACCAAATTGGCCATCAGAAAATTTAGCTCTATGGTGTTAGTGACCCAGTGCTGCGTTGGATGGGCAATTTCCTGCACGAACGTCGGTTGGTGAGAGTAGGTGAGTCCCTGTCTGTCGCGATTGACATGGAGTGCAGTGTAACTCAAGGCTCACTGCTAAGGACCCGTCTATTCTCGATTTTTGTAAACGATCTGATGATGGAAATTACTTCAGGTTTCCTATTCTTCGCAGATGATATCAAGTTATGGCGTGCCATCAAAGAAACGAACGACCATGAGAAGCTCCAGCGTGACCACAAGACGATTTTGAACTGGTCAGTTCAGAATAGACCACATTTCAACGTGGAACTGTCAAGCTGTGCAAACTGCGCCATAGGCATGACTAGGTATATAGGCTTGGCTCATATGTATTGCAAACAACTTCCCAAGAAGGCGACCTTGGTGTGCTTATTCAAAGTGATTTTAGCTGTTCAAAGCCATGACAGGCAGCTGCGAAGCGAGCCAACCAGCACTTTGGCTTGCTGCGGAGAGCATTCGGAAGATTCGACCTATCCATGTTCCCCATGATGCACAAATCTCAGGTGTGCCCTCATGTTGAATACGCCAACCAAGCTTGGTAACCTTAGTTGAAGCGCGACTTAAAAGTGCTAGAGAAGCCACAAGCCACGACCACAAAGAACCTCAAGGGTCTACAAAATTTGTCCTACCATCAAAGGCTGAACTCACTGGGAGTTTTCAATGACCTCTGCCAAAGTTTGCGCGAAGATCTA